ACCCAGAACTATTTGTTGTTTCTGTTTAGAATGATCTAATCTGTTGCTTCCTTCAAATAAATAGTCCAGTTGATGTTTTTTACCCAGAGAAGAACTGTAGATGATGAGGATTGCACCACTTCAAAATGTCTGATGCAGGCACCATACTTTAAAGGTTTACTGCAAGTCCTCAGCTCTATATGAAAAATATTCTCGAGGGTCAGGAAAAAGGCTGGGTTCAACCTAATCGTTGATGTACCAGTTCTCTACCTGAGGGATCAATGACGCCATTTTTATGCAAAGCTCTTTTACTGCTCTATTTTGTAATATCATACACATCGTCTTGTTCTGATGCATGCTTCTACTTGCAGGAACATGCCTGAAAAATGATCAAGTCAGCAACATTTAGCTCACTATTAGTATACACCAAGAGTAGGCAGCTTGGGGTGGGCAATTTTCTTCCCTTCGCAAGCCTCACCAGTGCATCATGGGACACAGGAAGAGAGATCATATCACTTCTGCTTACCTAGCTGGGGATTTAAAAAAAATGAAGCACGTAATTTCAGTAAGTTGGGGTTGGTCTTAATAGTAATAGTGGAATTAAATCACTGTATTGGGAGGTTTGTGGGGGATATTCAGGAACACGCACATACAAAAAAATAAATCCCCAAAAATAACATTTTTAAAAATGGAGGAAGTCAGAGGACTATGAAGGTTGGCAAAATGGGCTTTAGAGGCTGCAATGGAGCCCACAGGCCACACTTTCACTACCCAATATATAGATTGAACTATGTGAGCTAAACTGCATCCTCCAGCAGAAAACTTCCCCGGCTCCATAATTCTTATAAGGATATAGTTAATTACTCTGAAAGCTAGTTTTTTCCACCTTTTTTCTCAGCTCTCCCCAGTCAAAAATACTCCAGGTAATTGCAGCTGAGACAGCTTCACTCATTTGGTATATACTCCAGGAACCAAAAATTAGCAGGTATCCTATCAATAATTGCCAACCATTTCTTCATCCACAACACTCCTTGAATGCCTCAAGATATGCAGAATTAATCTCTTGCATTTACCAAATGCCATAGTAGTCAGAGAGGCTCCTCAATCCACTTGTCTTTTTCTCTGCTATGGGTTATATTCACCATACTCAGTATTAGCTCAATGGCTTTTATGGTTATTATCATCCTGTTGTCATAAATAAGAGACTGCCGTGCATAAGAAATGCAATTTTGCATAAACAACATCAGATGCTGGGGGGAGCAGATTATCATTAAACATCATTTCAACTGTGGGAATCTGGCTTTTCCTTTGAAATAACTATATCTGTAGCATGTATAAGTGTGTGTGTGTGTGCATGTTCAAAAACCAGTTTAAAACTGTTCTCAGGCAAGAGGCTCACTCCTGCACAGTTTAGCACTTGTGCCTATCCCTTCAAACCAACTGCGATAAAGCTGTATATCAAAGCAGAAAGTGAGTGGCATGTCAAATGTTATCAAACTATATTTTCCATCATGCCTTACCATTGGCCAAGTTTCTGGAGACAACAGGAAGTGAGTCCAACAACATTTAGAAGCTCACAAGCTTCCTAGCCCCTGTCATTTGTAAATATGAATAACTTGCCCTTGATTCTATAGAAGTGGATTCAGTTTTCATTTCAGTCTGCTTACATGGCATCAGTCAGATGCCATGGGAGAAATTGGTACAAGGGTATAAGCTGTTATAGATGCCATGCAACAGCCCCTATAGGCATGAAAGGGCTGCATTTTAGCCAAAATACAGCATCTGAGAGTTGAGCTGAACTCTTTACCTTACATCTAAGTATTACAAAGATAAGATGCTTTCCCAGTATGTGACACTGTTTCTCCCCCCCCCCTCCTGTTTCTAAGCTGTGGGGAAAAGAAAGAGATATTTTCCTCTGACTGCTTTGCTTAAATCACAAATTTTGATATATCAAACTGGATCTCACCCAGGTCATGAAACAGGCCTAGGAAAATTGAATTCTCTCAGATTCCACCATGACTTGGGAGTCCTCATGACAGGGGAACATTGTATTTTTTTTTCTTTGTGTGTGTTGTGTGCCTTCACATTGTTTCTGATTCATGGCAGTCCTAAGGCCAACATACCATGGGTTTTTCATGGCATGATCTGAAACCATCATTTGTATCCATCATTTAATTCAATAAAGCCATTTTTTTACATGTGTGACTTGGCCCAGCTTCTGCTGTTTGCAAACCTACTTGATGTACCCTGTGAGGTTCAGGTCTCAGATTGTTACATGTAGGTCACCAATTTCCAGACCCAATTCCTTATTTGTGCAATGGATTCAGGAAAAAACAAGACTCTAGCAAGTATAAGCAAGAAGTGCAAATGTTTCTGTAATCAGAGCTTGGAAGAACAAATAGCTGGTTACTTGTATATTTCCTTTTTTCAATAACCAAGGCATATTTAATAGTTACAGTTAACTTGAGATAATGGATATTATTGCACGTGTGTGTATCCCATCAGGGAAAAGACGAGATAAGGTGCATGTGACAATCTCCAATGTCACTCATTTGGTGATGTAACTATATGTTTTAATTTCTTTTACAGTTTTACAGTGTGGTCTCATTTCATGGTGAAAGAACATGACATGGTTCAAATGCTAGCCAATGCTGTGTCATGTGCTCCATTCTGGATATTGAAGTGACAGAGAGGTGGGCATCAAGTTGTTGGCTTTATATGACAAGCCAACATCTTGTAGCATTCAATTTCAAGAAATACAAAAGTAAACTTACATTTTAAACTAAATGTAACTAAAGCAGTGAGAGGCAGTGTAATATAGTGATTTGATTGTTGGACTAGGTCTCTTGGAGACCATGGTTTCAAATGCTGCTCAGCCATGGGGTGACCTGGACAATTCACATTCTCTCCATCTAAAAGGAAGGCAGTGGCAAACAGCCTCTGAATGAAACTTGCCAGGAAAACTTGATGATAGAGTCATAAGTCAGACCAAAGGTCTGAACTTTACAGCCTTGGAACAATAACTATAACTATTTTTTTAAAACAAAGTAGCTTTCTAAGCTCATCTTTATTTTAAAAAGAATATGTACAAATCTGTCCTTATTTATCTGTTCATAACTCAGTCTATCTTAATTTGCTGGCTGTATTAAAGTAAGATATGGAGACTACAGGGGTTTACTCTTTGCTGTTCATGGAGGGCAGAAACAAGTCTAAAAATATCACTTTGTGCGCATTTGTTCATAAATATTTAGATCTGCCAGATTTCATTTCATCTCTGTTATGCAGAGAAGAGACTTTTCAAGCCACTCCCCTTATTTGCCTGGTTCCAAACGCTCTCAAGATGTCTGCTTAAAGCAAGAGTAAGGACCGAGTGAACCTAATGGAAATGGACTAGTCAAACTTGGATTAAGTAAACAAGTATTTCAGTGCCAGAGGACATTCAAGGTGATCTTGTTCATTCCAATTGCTAAGTTGATGTATCTTTACACTGAGTCACTGAACAACCTGGTATTTTCACAGTTTCAGATACTCACAACAAATGCATTAACAAATGACGACAAAGAGTTAGGAGAACCAACTGTGAACTCAGCCATCCTTAAATTCAAGAAAACTTTAGATGCTGGAGATGTGACAAGTAAAACAAGATGTGGCTCAAAGTGTGGGTTGTGTGTTTTCAAGTCATTTCTGATTTAAGGTGACCCTGAAGTGAACCTATCACAGAGTTTTCTCAGCAAGATTTGTCTAGGGTGGGTTTGCCATTGCCTTCCTCTGAGGCTGAGCAAGTGTGAGAAAAGGTGGCAATAAATTCAGGCCAAGGTACAGACATTCCACCAGTGTTATTGCCCTCAGTGAACCCGAAGAGAAATAAGAGGAGGAGGAACAAGTAGAATTTGGGACTTGGAAATTTTTCCCTTTATTTTGAAACAAGCTTTATAAAAGGCTCCAAAGGCTTAATTTCTGATTTTTGAAAACCTCACTAGGATTTTATTTAAATAGAATTGTTGCATCTCCTCATTCCCTAAACTGTGGCTGAGGGGCCACTAGCCTAGAGACCAAATCTGGCCTAGAAATCCCTCAGTTAAGGTCCATGGCCTATCCTCCTACCTTTCCTTTCATTCACTCCAATGTGCAGGATTTTTAAAAAGTTCCCACCAAAAGGAATGGGAAGCTTTTCCCATGCAAATTTGCCATGCCTAGGAAGTGGGTTGAATGTGTGCATGAAAAGTATATTGGAACTGCCGAAATAATCCAGTTTGACACCAGGAGCCCTGGTAGTGCAGTGGTTAAATGCCTGTAGTGCAGCCACTCACTCATAGACCACAAGGTTGCGAGTTCAGTACTAGCCAGGGCTCAGGCTAGACTCAGGCCTGCATCCTTCCGAGGTCACTAAAATGAGTACCCAGCTGTTGTGGGGCAATGAGCTTACAGTTGTAAACCGCTTAGACATCCCATAGCATGGTATGAAATGGTAGATAAATGAAGCTGCTTTGCTTTTGCTTTGCACTTTAACTACCATGACTCAATGCTATATAATTATGGGAACTGTAGTTTGTTGTGGCATCAGAGCAATTAAAGTGGGTCAAATCAGATTATTTCTGCAGTGCGGATGCAGTCATAGTCAGATGTGATGGTGAAAGAATAAGTGTGTGAGAGAGGGAGAGGTGAGATAGTGCTGTCATTTCTTGCTGTGGTCCACCCTGTGTATGTGACCACTGCCATGGTTAACAATGATGAAATTGCAATTAAAAAAATCAAATATGAGACAGGAAAACCTTCTGATGTCCATCTACTGCCACTCCCAGTTATACTGAGATCCCATGGAATGCAAATATGTTCTCTAGAACTTTGAGAATTGTTGTTCTTGCTGTTGTGTACCTTTGAGTCATTGCCCACTTATGGTCACCCCCAAGGTGAACCTAAAATGGGTTTTCTTGGCAAGATTTGTTCAGAGGAGATTTGCCATTGTTTTCCTTTGAGGCTGAGAGCATGTGACTTTCCCAAGGTCATGCAGTGGATTTCATGGCCAAGGTGGGAATGAAACCCTAGTCTCCAGAGTTACAGTCCAACACACAAACCACTATGCCATACTGGCTCCCACAACTTTGAGAATGAACTATTCAAATTAAAGCCATTCAAAAAGTAAAAGCTGCCAGTTGTTTCACTAAATACTTCCATGAAACGTCTTCATCAATGACCAGCACGAGTTTTTATATATTGACAATAGAATTTTGTTTTAAAGCAGGACATTAGCAGAGTCAGAAAACCAAGGTGACCTAGAGTCCCAAGGCATATCTACATTTCACAGCTAGAGCATTATGATATCACTTTAACTGCCATGGCTCTGTCCCACACAAGTCCCTTGGAAATTATATTTTGGTGAGGAACTTAAGCATTCTCTACTAGAAATCTTTGGTGCACTCAGATCATCATAGACTGGAAATCACCTATGGCTGAGCAGAAGTTTGAACCTGCTTTGAATCTGGTGCTCTAATCCCTCTTTGGCTTGACAAGATGTCCATTGCAGTGAAACTGCCTTCATTTTCTTTTTCCCTTTAAATTTCTTTTCTTGTTTAATATTTGGTTAGAGTCAAGGAAGACCTGGAAGAAACTGGATTTATTACTGCAGTGTTGCCTTGACATTCCAGCATGAGATGTGTCTGGTTAAGACGTAGGTGGAATGTTCTCACAAAGAAGCTACATGGGGCTTGAAGTGGGTGGGCAAAAAGTGACAGATTTAAGAGAAGGTTAATAAGAATATATGTTATTGTTTCACTTTAGGGGGTTGGAGGCAGCATGGAAGAGTGGCAAAGGGAAGCTGAAAAAATTGCTCAAGAACCACTCAAGAAATTGAAATCGAGCTGCTATGGAAACAAGGAGATAATTGGGAGGGGGAGCAACACTCTTTCTGGAGTAATGGCCACTGCAATACATTTAGAAGGAGGAGATGATCTGAAAACACAATTTCTATCACTAAGCAACTTTCTCTAACTTTAATGATCTTGATGAAAGGTGGAGACAATAATAGCAGTACAAGTGGGTAGATATGGTGCAGTCTCCCTTCATAGAAATAGAGAGGAAAATCTTGTTGCCAAGTGGGTGGAACTAAGCTGAAAAACTTGTTGAGCTAAAATGGAAGACACCAGGGAGATTTTTTTTCTCAACCACTTTATGCCTACCTCTTCAATTAGCTGAAGAACACGCCAGAGGGAAGTATGTCAGACAAGAATCTAGCATAAAACTCTTCTAAAATCTTCTTTTAAATTGTTAGAACCCTGCTAGGTGATGAGAACCTTTTATCTAAGCTCTTTAAAATAGTTCCTAGTTAAAGATGCTTTCACAGGGCCAAACCCAATGTTTCGTTGGTGGCTGCAGTTTTCTGTCTCTTCCATATCCAGGGGATTTCCCAACTTTTCAGATGTAGATTTTGGGGTTCAGCAGGGCTGATGTGGGGAGGGCAGATTGCCTTCTCCTGATTCTGCTGGATCCCTTTGATCAACCAGTGGAACACTACTGTTAGGTACTCCCTTTGCCACTCTTCCATGCTGCCTCTAACCCCCTAAAGTGAAACAATAACATATATTCTTATTAACCTTCTCTTAAATCTGTCACTTTTTGCCCACCCACTTCAAGCCCCATGTAGCTTCAATAAGAATTGATACCTGCTAAAATGTCCATTAATGGCTGGTGGGTACCAACTTTGAAGTTCTACCAGGGTCCTACCAATCTGGGTGCAAGTCTCCTCTGAACCATAGAACACACTGGCTGACCTTGGGCTCATCTTTCTTAGCCTTGTCTACCCCACAGGGCTGATGTAGGAAGAAAGTGGAGTGGACAAAAGTCAAATATGTCACCTTGAATCTTTGGAGGAAAAGGCAGGACTCAGTTAGCAATAGCAATAGCAAGTACATTTCTATGCTGCTTATCAGTGCACTTAAGCACTCCCTAAGCAGTTTACAATGTGTAAGCCCCCCAACAAGCTGGATACTCATTTTAGCGACCTCAGAAGGATGCAAGCCTGAATTGAGCCTGAGCCATTGGCTGGTACTGAACTCGCAACCTTGTGGTTTATGAGTGAGTGGCTGCAGTACAGGCATTTAACCACTGCACCACCAGGGCTCCTAGTGCAGGAGTTAGGGTGCAGGGAATGAAAGGAAACAGCTTTGCATTGTGAATATAATCAGGAAATGATACTAAACTCTGACCTTTGCAATGAACAGCTCGGTAAGTGCAGCTGGAAATACCTATGCTTATCCAGAGCATTCCCAGCATCAACTAAATTAGTGAGCTCATTGTAAAAAAGATGTTTGCTCTTTTCTAGTCCTCTGCTACCTCACCTGTTCTCCAAAATTTCTCAAAAATGATGGCAAGTGGTTAAGAATGTACATCAGCAAATTCTTTCTGCACTCTCGGAATTTGGTTCTACAGATTTGAACTCATTTAGAAGCGTCATTTATTTGGTTCTACAGATTTGAACTCATTTAGATGTGTCAGGCAATTCCTGATTATAGGTGATTCCCTGTCAATACTGATTTACAATCTGGTTCCCATGCCAATGTTTCTACTGCTGCATGGAAGCATCCAGTTCTCTTTTGGGGAGAAAAATGAAGCAAAATTTGTATTGAGTAGTTCTGCCTTTTCATTGTGATATGTTAGCATTTCACCATTCTTGCTGAACAGTGACCCCACTATCCCCTTGGTCATTCTCTAGCACTTGTACTGCTATTATCTGAAAAAAAAACTCTTTTGTTGCTCTTGGCTTGCTCATTCTGAGCTTTAGCTTTCCTTATACTATTCCTTCAAGCTTAGGGTGCACCTTTTTACTCTTCCTTTGTGATACATCCTTCTTTTTACCTCCTCCTTTGCATCTTCTGTGCAGCCACATTCATTTTTTCACATATTGCCATTTTTTCTTTTTCCATGGGATTGTTTGTGACTGTGCTTTTTACATCTTCTTCAAAAACTCCCTTTGCTAGGTATCTTTTTCCTTTAGCATGTCTAGCCATGAGATTCCACCCAGTATTTTCCTGAACTAGTTAGGAGTAGAAGATGGGTAGACATGCTCTAGGCAAAGGCTGTATGATCCATTTTCAGCTCCTCCAGAGATTTTAGGTGCTGCTTCATCTCATTGTGGCCACTATTTTGAGCAACATTTGTATTTGTACATTTTTATTTTAGCTAATTTTACTTAAATGTACTAGTATAGTTGTAGGTTTGTTTCTACTGGTTAATATTTGTAGATTTTTAAAGATACTTTGGTCAAAGACTGTAAATAAAATTGTATTGTACTGTATTGTATTTTGAGAAACAAAAAGAGATGACCCATCACTTCCAGTCACTTTTCAGGCCAGTTTCAGGGAACTGGGGGCTGTTTGGAAGTAGAATAGAGCAGGGTAGTGTAGAGACCCCTCTGAAACAGTATTCTACAGACCTGCAAAGGGCTATACATGTCTTCTCATCTATCTTAAAGGACTTTTTTGGCTGGATAAAAATGGGACTGTCAGGGTCTTTGGGATAGGTTGCACTGTACCTTCCTAGTGGCCATGTAGCCCATAGGTCAAACAACTTCCACCCCAGCCTAGAACCAAAGTACCTTGGGCCTTTTGCTCAAGTAAACAAATGGCTAAGATTCACATCCTGTATAGCCTTAGCCCATCTGGATTACCCAATGTGATGAACAGAAAGACAGCAGGGAGTTGTGAAGACCCGAAGACAGCTGACCAATCCTGAGACAGCTGGAACCAGCCAATGAGAGAGCAGCTGGAAGGAGATAAATAGCTCACGAAGTGAGTGATATATAGTCAGTTTGTGAATTAGGCAGTTAGGAATTGTGGAAAAGAAGGCTCGGGACCTTTAAGAGTGTCAGTTGGATCTGACTTAGATAGAGGTACAGTGAGGCAGTACCTTAAGTCAGAGGCTGTGAGTTGTTCCTGAGGGAAATAAGTTGAACAAAGAAAGAAAAAAACTCTTTGTGGTTCAACAGAGCTCTAGTGTAGAGACTGTCTGTGTGGTTAGATTGTACCCATAGAAACAGCTGAAGGATTGTATTGGAATTAGCTACAGTACACTTGAAACTGTAACCAAGTATTATTATTAACAAGTTTGAAAACCAAGAAGCCATGCCTGTATGTTTGAAACACAATAAAACCTTCTTCTATTTTATAAAAACCTATTTTGACCTTTGTGTGAGAATTTTGAACAAACGCTACCAGTGTGTTATTAATAGTTATTGGACCGGGAGGTGACGAGGGCTATGAAGCCAGTCACATAAAAAATTAAAAGAGAAATAGTCAAGGTGGCAGGAGTGGTTCACCAATTCCACAGTGTAGTTTGTGTATGAGAACAAGAGTGTATGTGCAAAAATTCTGTATATCCCAATGTTTAAACTGAGTGATGTTTGATATATCAAATTCAACCAGCAGAATGTATTATTAGCATTCACCACATTGCTAGCAAACAAGAACTTAGAAAACACATGATGGGAAATAGCTCTTGTTAGAAACATTTTCAAAAAGGATCAAGCATTGACACTGAGGGGTTTGTTTTAATCCCATGCTGTCTTTGAACCTGAAATTTAAGACAAGGTAAATGAAGAACTGGGAAGGCACAAGATAAACATTTCCCTGTGCAGCTCTAATGGCATATACTATTTAATATACAAATACATTACCCTTTAACCTGGCCTGCTACTGTCACTCCTAGAAATATTCCATGCTAAAGTAGGAACAGGTGTCAGCATCAATGAGCTTCTACAGAGGCCCATATCTCAGCAAGAGGTCCACTGCAGATCCCTGGAGCCCCCTGGCTCTGCTGCAGCATGTCCTCCTCCTTGTTGCCACCATTCTTTGCATGCTTGAAGTATGCAAGGAAATAGTCACAACAGTGAGGACATGGGGCAGAAACCTCCATTTACCGTGGACTCTCCCTTTGGGCAGTTTTCAGCATTGGGCCAAAAGGGAGAAAGCTAGATATTAGCAGGAGTGATGATGTTAAAGAGAATTCAAAGACAGGGCTGTGTTAGTCTAGATCACTATGCCAAGGAACATTGTCACATCTTTGAAATGGAGGGAGAGAAAGGGCAGGGGCAGCTCCACC